TGAAAATCGCAGTTTTAGCTAAACAAAACGCAAATTTGCTTTCAAATTTGTCAAAGAAAACTCCGATACATATACATATGTTATGAATGATCTATAAAAAAATATTAACTGACACTTTTATAAGAAATTTCTCTCTATCTTCGTACGTAAATAAAATAACGAGAATATAAGTCTAACGGCATTGAATATTATTTATTTGAATTTGTCAATATCAACATTGTTAATTATTCTATCAGCGTAACATGAAATAATACAACTTTTGACCTCGATGCTTGAAGATATGTGTTTTATGTATCGTGAGTAAGTAGTAATGCCTTTTTATGTGTATTTATTAGATGAATTAAATAGAAATAAAGTTGTTGTAGGTAGAAATCTCAGAAAAATAAGTATATATAGAGGTAGTCTAATATAGTAATAATATTGATTTAGAGTTAATTGGGCATTAGTACCTTTCCTGAAATGAATTTAACAAATTATGGTATGTTAATAATTCATATGTATACATATAGAAAAAAAAATCATTTTAGTACTTTAATTGGCATATACTGGTGTGACATGAGATCGGTATTATAAGGGATAATCAGACACACGAAATTCTACGAAGAATAAGTTTGTCGTAGGCGGCATTCGGTAAACTAAAGAATATACCTGATCTTCCAATATGTTTAAAAAGAAAGGTCTTTAACCAGTGTGTCTTGCCTGTCCTCGCGTATGGAGCTGAAATACTTACTTTGACAAAAAAGAACATATATTGAATACAGGTCATGCAACGGAAAATGGAAAGGTCCATGTTGGGAGTTACACTTAGAGAAAATACCCAATCATACCATACGAAATCGAACAGGAGTAAGAGATGCGGTTATACCTGTCTTACATTTTAAATGGAATTCGGAAGGACATGTAGCTAGGATAAGAGATGGACGGTGGACAAAGAGACTTGTGGAATAGAGACCAAGACACGAGGCCTATAGAAGCAGAGGACGACGTCCTAGTCGATGGACAGATGACATTAAGAGAGTGGCTGGAAACTGGATTCAAGTGGCACAAAATAGAAAGAAATGGCTAGAGTAAAAGGAGGCTTTTGTTCAGCAGTGAACCGAACAAGCTAAATGATGATGATCAAAAAGGAGAAGTCCGAATGTGTCCTTAGCATTTAAAAAGGAGAAGTTTTAAAATACTACTTTTAATGTACGAATGTTGTATGAAAAATTAATTTATTTCTTTTTTTTTGTCTTCTACTATGTTTTGAATGTTTATAACTGATGATACCTGTCTGACCTATATTAATTGTTATCATTAGTTAGAAACTGGAAAATTTTTGAAAACAAATAGGATAAAACGTCAGCAGATTTAATATGTGCATAGATATATTCGTGTTCGTGTTTTCTATCCTTGGTTTTAGAGGTGAGAGATCTAATCTAAAAAATTACGAGTACGTATGTCTAAAATAGCTTCAGGGCTATTTTCATAAGTACATCACCTTCGTTCGATTGCAATTTATTTTTAGGTTATGATGTGAAAATGCATACTGCTAAATTAGAGTATATCGAAAAATAGTTTATAGTTCTACAGAAATTCTTAAATTCTAAATTGTGGAAATCAATATGTTTTCTCTATAACATGATTCTATAAGCGATACCAATTGAACTTTTAGTTACGTAATCAAGGATGCGATTTTTAAATTCATTGTTGCCAACCGTGGACATATTCGGTGACGGGCTGACTAACTGGAATTTAAATTTCCTCCTGGGGATTCAGGTGGTGGCTCTGCTGTAAAAAATGTCAAGTTGCCACATTTATTTGTTTATTTTCTGACATCGTTATTCGGTTTTGACACTTTAGTTTTGTATTATGAGGTTTTGGTTTAAATGAATTGTGTCGTTAAACTTTAACAAAAAAAAATACCGAGGGTGCTATTTAAAAATTAAAAGTTGTAGTCATTTCCGGTGATAGCGGAAGTGACCGAAAACAATTGAATAATTCATTAAATCCTAATTTATGTCATATACTAACATACTAAATCTCGTTATTTTATCTGAAAAAAATAAAAAAGTTATAGGGGCGAGCCACTTTTGAAACGCACCCTGTATATCTATACATATCTCTCTATATTCATTTATTTTTGTTTCCTATAATATTTTTATTAAAAGAAAATATGTAAAGGGGCAACGGTGTGCTGGTCAAGCTTATCACGTGACTAAATGTTTATTTGGTATGATCTATACTTATACTGTGATATGATCGAAAATAAAACGGCGTTTAGTTGGCTTCGATAAGACACCGATATCATTTCCCATATATTTTACATGTAGCGATTTTCATCGCAAAGCCAACAAGTTTTTTTCGATTGTATGGGATTAATTAGAAATATGAAAAGAAAATAACATTTATTTATTCGTGTCAAAAGCGTTGCGAAAAGACAAACAGAAGAAAATGCAAAGATAAAATTGAAACCAGTTACAACATAAAATTGTAAAAAAAATAAAAGATATGAACATTGTACAAACACTAAATATAATTAGACCAAAAATTAGTAACATCGACAGCATTTCCTGTGGCCTGCAACAGGTCGTTAAGCTTACAAGAATCTGGACACTGAGAGCAGTTACATATATAGATGTTTGGTCACTAAACTTTGGTGGTTTGTTCGATACCCCATTCGCATAATGTTGATGGATCTCTAAGAAAATTCCATTTGGCCATGTTATCTTTTGGTCTGCCAATCCCACTTCTTAGTCTGTTGAGGGACTTCCATATTTTCCATTGCAGGTCTGCACCTGAAGCACAGTGATAGAAAATGGAATTCTGAAGTTCCAAAATTCCAATTTCTTGTTGACTTAAATCTTTTACAAAATGATATATTATCCTTCAAAGAAAGCTAATAAACAGTGCTACACAAATCCCAGTCGCCCTGGCTAACAAACAATTGCTCCACGTTGACAAGTCGAAACAGTTAATACGCCGTTTAGAGAAATTCTGATCTCGGTTTCGATTGCAGTCTTAATCGTTTCGTTAAATTAATGTTTGTGTGTTTTCATTTCTCAAACACATGCTGCATATTTCTGGAGATATGTAATTTGTGTTTTACACAAAATTATGATGTTTAGTATGAAAGATACTTTAGGACGCTCAATTAAAGTGTACATTATAAATTAACGAATAATGCGAAAACGTTGTTGCATAACAAGGTAGAACTTCTGTGTGCCTTGTTACGACTTCCAAATACTAACATCATTTTGTTCTCTACATTTTTTCCTTCTAAAAAAAATAAAAAACTTTTGCCACCAGGCGCCCCTTCTCATTTAATATACAGTGTCCACCATAATGTTGGCTACATATGAGAAATATTTTTATTTATGGGATTTCCGAAAATTTTGTTTGGTGGATCGCTCCTACATGTTTAATAACCTAAAAAGTCATTATGACATCAGTCACGTGATCACTATCATGGCGGCAAATTAAAAAAAAAACGCTATGAAAACGCAAAAAGTGGGGTTAGATGGCAAAATATCGAAAAAAGTTATTTGAAAAAAATGTTTAGAATGATCTTTTAAGGCTACCTGCAAAATTTGGAGCGGAAATAAGAAAAAGTAGAAAAAGGCATATTTTGAGTCCTGGCTCTTCTATAAAATATTTTTATACGGATTTTATTGCTGGATTAGCTTAAGTAACTTGATATTCAATGTGTAAAAGTAAAACAATTCAAAATTTCACACTGAAGTCATTTCCAGAGGATAAAATCAGAAAAGTCGATTTCGAAACAGTATTTTTTTGTAGCCATGCCGTGTTATTTGACAGTTTGTCAGGTTTCCAGTAATTCAGTGATGCATGCTACACTTTGAATATCAAGTTACTTGGGCTAATCCAGTAATAAATTCCATATAAAAAATTTTCATAGAATAACCAGGCTTGGAGCCAGGGCTAAAAATATGATTTTTCCACTTTTTATAATTGTCGCAAATTTTTTCGATAGCCTTAAAATATCATTTTAAACACTTTTTTCGAATAACTTTTTTCGATATTTTGTCATCTAACCCCACTTTTCGGGTTTTCATAGCGGTTTTTTTAATTTGCCGCCATGACAGTGATTACGTGACTGATGTCATAATGACTTTTAAAGTTACTAGAAAGGCACTCGTATCTATAGTTATTATTAAAAAAAACTTTTGCAACATCATTTGTAAGAGTTTATTAGCTTATACCTTGATTTATAAAGCCGAAAAAAACACTTACATAACATAAATATTTTTGGAACCGTAGAATTGCATTTTCAATCACTGTGTGGTGGTAGGGATTCAGAAAGTGGGATCCATGATGCGATATCTGCATTTCTCAGTGTCTAATGGAGATGCACCGTCATCGATAGTAGTTTTTACAAAGCTCTTTCTAGATTTCAATTTATTTAGGGGAGGTTGATGTCCACCCAGTGAGCATTTTATTCCTTTAAGGGAAATGTGTTCTAGGTGACGTCGTTGTTACATTACCAGGCCGTTCTCGTGCCTAATATGAAGCAATAAAACGCAGATACGTAACTGTTCCCTAAATGTGACAAAATTTTGCTCACTGGGGATGCAACGGATGAGCAGCGTTTACTTCCCTCTTATGTCTCTGTATTCGCGGCAACTTCCCTTATTATATCTGGTAGGGCTTAAATAACATGAGAATGGTCTTGCACTTTCTCATCACTACACACAGTATAGATAGAAAATGTACTAAATTATTTTATCACACTGTCTATTGTTTCTGAAACATTTTGTCTCACTTTGTATATTGTTGCGAAAATTTTGTCGACCTGTGTAATAGTTCTGGAATTTTCTGCATCATACCCTGACCTTTCTCTATACAACATACAAGCACACAAGCATAATTAACGGTATTCTAATTCATGCTTTTTTTTTTCTTCTTAATATTTTATTACCAATTTTATTTTTTCACTCGTTCATAATTAAAAAAAAACTATTAACACACTAAACACGAATTTAAAATTGTTTTTTTTTCAGTGCCGGTCGCCTCGAAAAAAAGACAGCGCATAGAAAAAAACGTTTTCACAAGGATGGACGCCGTGCAAGGTCCTCTCGCTCTATTGCGGAAGTACGTGAAGGAAAAAACACGAATCAAGGTAAGATAGACAAGGTGAGAGAACGAATAGACGCGGGTAGAGGTATTTTTAATGTACAGGGTTGGTCTAGGTTGGGTGTTTCGAATGTTTGTCACTTTTTACGTTTAATAGTTATTTTTTATACAAGACGATAAAATGGTATTTTATCGTCGACCGAAAAGATTAATTCACTAGTGAATTAATTTCGGGAGACGATAATGCAATTTTATCGTCGTGTATAAAACAATATTTTTTTCCATTGCGAGTTACGTTTTAAAAAATATTCAGAAATTATTATTTCAAGGAATTTATTACGAGTAGAAAAGATATTGTGCTGGGTTGCGTTGGTTTCTATATAATTTGACAAATAAATAAAGCTGTCTCTTTAGTTGTCAGTTTTGAGTCAATATTTTTTAATTCTCATTCGTGTCGATTGCTGATTGAATTGGAGCCAGAAATGCGGTTCCATTTAAGATGTAAGATAGATATCACCCCATCTCTTACTCCTGTTCGATATCGTATGGTATGATTGGGTATTTTATCCCCCCTTAAGTGTAACTCCCAACATGGACCTTTCCATTTTCCGTTGCATGACCTGTATTCTGTATATGTACTTTTTTTTGTCAAAGTAAGTGTTTCAGATCCATACGTGAGGACAGGCAAGACACACTGTTAAAGACCTTTCTTTTTAAAAATATTGGAGGATCAGATCTCAGTATATGCTTTAATTTACCGAATGCCGCCCACGACAAACCTATTCTTCGTAGAATTTCTTGTCTGATTTTCCCTTCTAATAGCGATCTCATGTCCTAAGTATTTATATATACAGGGTCCGGCAATAGTGCGTCGGGCATCTGTAGCTCCTAGAATAAAAAACTGTATAAGGATGTAAAATGTACCAGGATGTATTTCAAGAAAATATTTTAACTTCTATAGGGTGGCTCAAAAAAGTGTGAGTGGATCTTGATGATTTTTTTTAAATGGAATACCCTGTATATTATTGCATTTTTGGCTTTCTTTCACATCACTTTACATAACCCTAAGATATGAATAAATATATTTTGATAGTTTCAGAGATATTAAAAAATAAATAAAAAATATGTATTTTTCAGCCCTTCTTAAAAAAATTATTAAAAATACAAGAACTGTCCTGAAATTAAAACTATATTAGGTATTTACTTTAGATGGTCTGTACTTACTTTGCTATAAATATGAAAATCGTAAATTACACAGAATGTTCAAAATTCTGCGCCAAACTTTCTAAAATATAAAATAATTTTTCCTCGTTTTTTTAAATGGGACACCCTGTATATTATTTTTTCAACAGACGGAGAATTAAAAAATGAACATTTTTTGTATTTAGAGTATTTCAAAATTTTTAACGGTTTCGCAGATATTTGCGGTTTTATATTTCATATGGCATTTTCCACAGTAAATGTTAATCAAAGCTACCCAATGATTTTTCACTCGTATTTTACCATTGAAAGCGCCATATGAAATAATACTGCGCGTATCTGCGAAACCGTTCAAAATTTTGAAATACTCTAAATACAAAAAATGTTCATTTTTTAACTCTCCGTCTAATAAAAAAATAATATACAGGGTGTTCCATTTAAAATAACAAAAAAAATTTATTTTATATTTTAGAAAGTTTGGCGTAGAATATTGAACATCCTGTATGATATACGATTACCATATTTATAACAAAGTAAGAACAGACTATATAAAGTAAATACCTAATATAGTTTTGATTTCAGAACAGTTCTTGTATTTTTAATAATTTTTTTAATTATTTTTTTAAGCTGAAAAATACATATTTTTTATTTATTTTTTAATATCTCTGAAACTATCGAAATATATTTATTCATATCTTAGGGTTATGTAAAGTGATCTGAAAGGAAGCCAAAAATGCAGTTACATACAGGGTGTTCTATTTAAAAAAAATCATCCAGGTCCACTCACACTTTTTTGAGCCACCCTATAGAAGTTAAAATATTTTCCTGAAATACATCCTGGTACATACTTTAGGTTTGCACTTAAACAAAATTCTCAAGTTTTTTATTCTAGGAGCTACAGATTCCTGACGCACCATTGCCGGACCCTGTATATGCACTTGTTCCAAAAGTATGTTATTAAGGTTTAAATTACCACTCAGTACTAGGTTTGTCATGTATTGTGTCTTAAGTTAATTTTCAAACCGACTTTTTCCGTATCAGGTATCATTTAGCATACCCAGCATATTCTGTGCTTCCTGTATATTATCTCTTATTAAAACAATATCATCTGCAAAACACAGATGATTTATAGATTTGCCATCGATGTTAATTCCTGCTGAATCCCAGTTTATCATTTTCAACATACTTTCTAGCACAGCAACGAATAGTTTAGGGGAGAGTGTGTCGCCTTGTTTTACCCCTCGATCGATATTGAATCTGTTTGTGTATTGATTTCTCGATATTCTAACGTTTGCCGTGGCATTCTCATACATATGTCTTATGATTGCGGAGTATCGATGATCGATGCGACTCTCACTTAGTGTCTCTAGAAGCTTCCACTGGTCTACTGAATCGAAGGCCTTCTCAAAATCCACGAAGACAAGCATTAGTGGTCTATTATACTCAATGCATTTCTCGATATAAAGTCAGAAGATGGTCACTATGGTTACATTTTTTCTTTAATATCAAATCCTTAATCCCACCCTGATGAAGATGTAAACGAAACGTCGTATCCAACTTTGCAGGGTGGAACCGTGTGCACCGTCGCTCATATCGCTTCCCCACCAAATTTGGTCGCGACCGGACGACATCAACTTTTGACGTTTCTTACGTCAAAACTAACTGTCACAGTGACACGTGTCGTACACGGTCGATTACCAAATTTCATTTGAAATGGATGATTTTTTCGCCATTGATGATGGGGTTTCATAGAGCACAAAACTCAGCTCATATTTAGCACAAAACTTAGCTCATATAGGGCCTGAGTTACGACGTTCCAAAGACCCATCTCAACTTCCTCATTGGCTTACCGCTTTTTCCATTGTTACCACTAGGTTGTGTATCACGGCCTTGAATGTTTTATTTCCAGCGCGCGTCAAGAAGTCTTACTTCCAATAAATATACAGGGTGGTCCGAACTGTATTCCGGAAACTTCGGCAGCATATTCTATAGATAAAAATAAGTAAAAAAGTTCGTATAAATGTAGGTCCTAAAATGCTTAATTTCAGAGGAACAGGGTGTAGAAGTTTCATTTTTATTTCGGTTTTTTCTAAATAATGTCTCAAGGAACGTCAATATTTCGATGAAAATTGGTGTCTGGGAGTTTTTTGACATGAGAAATTTGATTTTGATGTCAATATGACTCCTACTAGTAGAAGGCGCCACCTACATGTGTTTTAACTGTATTGAAGCATAATAACTTTTTGTCCTTACCTGTACAAAACTACCGGGCGAAAAAATATCATCTACACACATACATCTCTGTGACTTTTTACGTAAAAAATATCTCTTTCTCTCGTTCTTAAGATATTTAGAAGGGAAAAAATAGTCAATACATGTCATTATTGACGAAAAATAAACACGTTGAGTGTTTATTTTAATTATTTTATCATTGAGATAGTTATTTCACTGAAATAATAAATTTGGGAAATTTTTATTTTTTTTTTAAATTAATCATAATTTTTTCTGCTAAAAATGATGATAAAACAGTTTCTGTTGACCTTTTGGCACAAAAACATTTCAAATTTATGATTTCAGTCTAATAACTATTTAGTCAACATAATATATTATGTTTAATAAATAATAATAATTATTAATGTCAATGATGACAGGTATTGGTAATTTCGATTCCAAATATCTCGAAAACCATTACTCCTAGCGATTTTTATCAAGAGACCTTTTTCACGTAAAAAACGTCGTAAATGTATATTTTTTTACTCAGTAGTTTTATACAGGTACGGACGAAAAGTTATTGCTCTTCAAATCGGTTAAAAAATATGTAGGTGGCGCCCTCTACTAGTACGAGTCATATTGACATCAAAATCAAATTTCTCATGTCAAAAAACTCCCAAACACCAATTTTCATCCAAATATTGACTTTACTTCAGAAATTATTTGTAAAAAATCGAAATAAAAACTTCTACACCCTGTATCTCCGAAACTAAGCATTTTAGGACATACGTTTATACGAACTTTTTTACTTGTTTTTATCTGTAGAATATTTTGCCGAAGTTTCCGGAATACAGTTCGGGCCACCCTGTATACACACATTAGTAATGGCATATTTATAGAAAAACAAAATAAGTGTGTCTTGTAGATTTGCTATGCGCCAAATAAAGATATGATTAAAAAATTTCCATAAGCGAGGCGAACTTGAATGTTATCCGTGGCATTTACACCACGCTGGCCAATGAAAAATGCAAAATTTGTCATTTGATTCGACCATGACGGCAGGTGACCGTGACTGGTATGCCACGGATTAAATCTGTGGCAATAATACAATAACCAAGTTTACCGTTTTATTTTTAAAACAAATATTAATAATTATTGCTAATATTGCGGTATACACACTAAAAAAAATAAAATATTGATTTACAGATTAATCCAAATTCCGATATTTTTTATGCTAATGAATAATAATAATAAATTTTTTATTAGATTTTATAATCTGAAACAAAACGACAGAGTAGTTTTTGAATTGACAGTCGATGGTAATGTAATTTTTATGTCAATTTTTAATAACTAGCATGTAAGAATGGGCCTCACAGAAACTATCATTGATTGTTACTCCAAAGGTTATTGTGAGGCACTTTTTTTCGATCATATTTTGTTTCAAAAATTGAAAAGATAGAATTTTTATTTTTAATACAAATATGTAGTTCTATTGCTTTTTTTTGTGAAGGCCTTAGAACTATAACTTCAATAGGATAAAAATAGATGACTTTTTACAAGATAATTAATAATTTTTGTTTGATATCAGTATCATTATGACCATGGATCGGATAATAATTATGAACATTACGATAA